ACTGTTAGGAATCGAGCGACCCCTGTGAAAGGTTCGTTTGACCCCCAAAGGGGTCACGACCCACAGGTTGAGAACCGCTGCTCTAGCTGCTGCAATGGAAGGAAGATGTCTGCTTCCGTAAAGCTTCCAGCCTTGGAAGCCCGATGGGGCAGTTCTTCTGTCTTCCAGGGAAGCTATGAGTCAAAGCTGGCTTGACAGCAAGGGGGTTTTAGGGAAACTTTAATGTACACCTAACCATGGTTTAACAACCAGAAAATACTAGGCGGTGTTCCAGGAGGGGGATTTCTGCAATGATAGAAATGTTCATCTTCGCGGTGTTCAGGATAGCAACCACTAGCCACAAGTTGAGCTCTAGAAATGTGGGTAGTTAATTTCACTTTATTTTTAAGAAATTTAAATATATATACATATCTCTATCCGTGTGTGGCTGTTATTGTTAGCTGCTACCCATATTCAATCACCCCCAACTGACAGCAACCTCACGTGCCATCCCCATGATCAATTACAGGTCGGACGATCCCTATGATCCACAGCGTTTTTCACTAGGTGGGGTTTTTTGGCAAAAGAGCACCCGGCCTTTTATCCCAATCCACCTTGGTCTGGCAGGGCCAGTGAAGCCAGCGAAGCCCCCTAGCCACATGCAAGCCGACTCTGACGGACAGAAGATGGCAGCACACGCGGTGCACTGTCTGGGAATCGAACCAGGTCTCCGCCATGGAAGATGAAGATACCACCACTGAACCCACAATGCCTTGTTGTAAGTGGCCAATGGCAACTACGAAGTATGATGCACAATGGCCACTACAAAGCTCAGTCCCCAGTCCGGCTGATGACAACCTTCAAGGAGGCTTCCAGAGGTTCATGGAAACTTTTCATCTTTTCGTTCCATTTTTCTACAAACTTATCACTGTTCTCTCATATTTAAGCAATAATGCAGGTGAATTATAGCATTATAAAAAAAAGCTTGAGTTTACGCATGCAGGGAGCAGGGATCCTTACAAGATGCGGGAGACCAAACCCACTACCACTGAATCAGTTCTAACCCATATCCACTCTACAGGTCAGAGCAGTACTATCCCATAGGGCAGCGGGTCAACCTGTGCGTCTCGACCCCTTTGGGGGTCGAACAACCCTTTCACAGGGGCCACCTGATTCATAACAGTAGCAAAATTAGAGTTATGAAGTAGTAACAAAAATAATTTTATGGTTGGGGGGGTCACCACAACATGCGGAACTGTATGAAAGGGTCATGGCATTAGGAAGGTTCAGAACCACTGCCATAGGGTCTGCAAGGCTATAAACTTTACATTAAGGGCTGTATCCTTTTACCATATTCAGTAAATCTGTATGCTTAGCAACTAATCTAAGAAGCTGGACTATATGAAGAAAGTGGCATCGGGAATGGAGGAAGGTTCATTAACAACCTCTGAGACGCAGATGACCCAACCTTGGTTACTGGAGGCAAACAGGACTGAATGCACTTACTGAAGATCAAGACTACAGCCTTCAGTATAGATTACACCTTAATGTAAAAAAAAAACAAGCCCAAATCTTCACAACTGGACCGAAAAATAACAGCATGGTAAACAAAGAAGAAAAGCGAAGTTGTCAGAGATAGCCTTTTACTTAGACCTACAGTCAACACTCTATGCTCATGCAAGCAGCAGTCGAGAAATCAAACCACATACTGCATTGGACATATCTGTGGCCAAAGTGTTAAAGAGCAAAAATAGCACTTTGAGGACTAAGGTGCACCTGCCCCAAGCCATGGCATTTTCAACCACCCCATATGCATGCAAAAACTGGATAACGAATAAGTAAGATTGGAAAGACTGGCAGAACAAACACACCTGTCTGTGAAGAGGTACAGACAGAAGGCTCCTGAGAAGCAGGGTGGTGAGACTTCATATTACGTACATACTCTGTACATGTTACCCGGAGAGACCAGTCCCTGGAGAAGGATATCATACCCGGTGTGGTAGTTGGATGATTTTATGTCAACTAGACTCCAGGCTAGGGGTGGAGACAAAGCAGTCAATCAAGTGGAAGCCTCATGACACCTCCTTGGGGGTGTGGCCAATGTATGAAGTGAAGAACTCGGGGAACTCTCTGCCCCTTCACCACACCTGCCTCAAGGGGTGAATCCGTGTGGGGCACCAAACCCTGAGAGCTGCTGATGCCCTGCCAGGTTTCCATGGACGTTGGATCAACATGACAGCCTGTCATATTCTGGCTTCCCGGTTCATCTTTCTACATCACTGGCACCTGGCTAAGTGAGTCTGAAGAGGGACTTCCAGACTAGCATCGCACTTAGGGATTTGAGTTGGACTGGGCTAGGATGCTTTCTTGATATACAATTACTTCTGAATAGAAAGCTCTTTCTTATACATAGATGAGTGTCGCTGGATTTGTTTCTCTAGACAACCCAGCCTAACACACTTGGTAAAGTGGAGGGTTAGCGAAGGAAGACTCTCAAGGAGGTGGACTGGCACTGTGGTGGCAAGGATGGTATAGGACCGACGAAGGTTTTATTGAATTGTACACAGTGTCGCTGAGGCAGAGCCCACTCAATGGCACCTAGCAACAACCACTTTTACAGAAACAAGTTGTAGTGTCGTTCTCCTGCAAATCAGCTCCTGGGTTCAAACCACTGACCCTTTGGTCAGGAGTCGAGCACTCTAACCACTGTGCAATGGGGCTTCTTTACCTTCTCCCAACTCCGACTGTGTCCTTTGGAACTCCACCTCACTGCGCCATGTGCTTCCTTGGGCCCCCGTCAGGACCTTCTATTATCTCCCAGGAGCACCACGCTCCCCCATCACCTCCTCAATCCTCAACCAATTTCCCACTCACACGATGCTAAGATCTCAACCAGGTACGTGTGTGCTGGGGGGTGGGAGGAGGTAAAGAGGCAGGAACTCAATCAAATAAATCCACACCCTGAGCTGGTCTCAGTTTTTCAACCCAGAAATTCTGAGACTTTTGTTTTGTCTTCCACCTAGAGGTAGCCGGGTCACAGGGAGGCATCGTCGGGACTAGCCGAAACAGTCGTGGTTCTAACTGGGCTTTGTCAGCCAGGTGGATAGAAGGCAGGGGCTGCCAACACACAGACGAACACGTGCAGAACAGCCAGGCACTGTGCAAACCCTTCCTCTTGTCCAAGCACAAGAAACCTCCCCTTTTCTCTGCTTTGGAAAACTGTTCCTTTGTAAATGTAGAAATTTGTGGGTGACAAATGAAACATCAAATGATTTTTTTTTAAAAACGACCCAAAATTGTAGAACAAAATCCCAGAGAAGAGTGTGACTAAGAACGGTTTTGCAGAGAAAAAGAAAACCCACTACCTTCGCTGGAATCCAGCTTCACCACAATCCACTTGAACACGGAATTTCTTATGACACAGGTCAACCTTGGGTCACATCCAAAGAGCTTATGTTTGTAGAAGGATTGAAGAACAGCCCTCCGGCTTAACCTTGCCCCTTCCTTATGTGATCCCAAGACATGGGCCAAAGCTGATACTATGCCTGGCTTCTTCGTGTAAAGAAAATTCCCCCTGCAAGGCTGTAAATGGAGGAGAATGCTCATATGTGATAAATGCTGTGTCTCTAAAATCCTTCCGGTTGATTAGATTACCTCCTGGTCCAAAAGAGAGATTTGCGCAGCAGAACCGGAGTCTTAGCATTTGATACTGATCCGTAATCATTTAGAGTGCGTCCTAGGTGGAAGCACTGTGCCAAGAAGCCCTGAGCCGGGGAAATGACTCTCCCAGAAGGCAAAGCACGGATAGGCACTGGGGGTGAAATGCTACAGGAACTAGGCAGGGGTGTCACAGCAGCATCAAAACTCCGTTTGAAGGATGGTTAGGTACGAGTGGCGAAAATGGGGAGCGGAGGAAGGGGCAGCAAGATAGAGGCAAGGATGGTCTAGATGCCAGGACCAGCAGGCACTCTTCAGGAAAGTATCTGAGGAGGCATGGCTTCGTCTTCTGCATCCACATTCCAACACAGACGTTCCAAAGTTTCCCTTTACAGGGTCCAGTATTCGTGGGCGCCCAGTGCCCCTTCTGTGGCAACACTGCCACAGTATTCCTACCCATCTTGGCCACAATAGAGTCCTACCCACCTACCCAAGAACATCAAGAGGAAGCATGTCCATGCTGCAGGGATCTAAACGGCCTAACTTCGCTTGCCTCATGCTTAAGTGAAGTGGTGAACTGTGTGCAAATAAAACTTGTTGAAGAAGGGAATTTTACTGAACAGCCCCAAGGAGCTCACTATTTCAGAGGATGCCGATAAGGGTTTCAGGGATGAATCTTTCTGACACTGAATAATTGAGCCAATCAACCTGTGGCTTCAACGCTGGGCAAGGAGGGAAAACACATTTACACTGCGTGCATATCGGAGTTGCAGTGTTTGGTACCCCCCCCCACCTAATATTTAACATTAACTGTGTTTTGGTTATCACCGAGGGATTCCAGCTCTACAAGAGGTCCTTCATTCTTACAGCATGAAAAGGAGTAACAGGAGTTTGAGAGAAAAGACCCAGTCTCTTTGCTACCACTGCTACCACTCAACATCGGACCAGGTCCAACGCTGAGTTTTCTAGGGCTTGATGTAAGTAAATCTCTCCAGGAACAATCCGTGAGCATTTTCCTTGAAACGCTGTTGCTGAGGACCGCCACACACACAAAAAGAGCTCCCATTTGTCTGCTCTGTTCTCGCCACCTCCGTACCGTGCACACAAAATAAAGTGGAAACCCGAGACAAGCATCTGCAGGCGTGGCGAGGACACGCACGGGGCGCTCTCAAGCCCGTGGGACGGTCGACCTGCGTTCCCGGGAGACCCGCCCGCCTCGGCGTCCCCTGGTCCGTCCGTGGGGAGAGTGCGGCCAGGAACGAGGCGCTGCGCGGATTCCCCCCAACACACACACCAGTCCGCGAAATTCCCATCTCTCCTCCCTCTCCGACCCCTCGCCCCCGGCGACAGCCTCGCTGCCTCACCTTGCGCCTCCGGGCCAGGGTCCCCGAGTCCCCCGGCGGCGTCTCTCGGGAGAGCTGCAGTCCTCGCGCCCGTCGCTGCGCCGTCGACGCCCCGCTTCTGCACGTCCCCGAGCCGCCGACG